CACGGGATCAACAGAGCAGGTGGAGGGATCAGTTATGGCTGCTCTCAGCCCCGTCCCCAGAGGCTCTGCCTCTCAGAGTCCCAGCAACCGCTGCAAACCTCGGGGAGAAAGCTGCCCTCGCGTTCCGACCGATGCCAGACAGTCCCGCTTCTCCCATTTGAGTCTGGGTCCCTAGAGACTCGCCCAGAACTGGAGCTCAGAATCTGAGCCTCCCTCCCGATTGAAAACGCCAACCTCGCCCTCAGCTACCAGCCCGCTCCGCGCATACCTCCGCACCTTTATATTTTCCCCACTGCGCCTCCTCTGAGTCTCGTATGCTGTTCTCTTTCCTTCTAGTTGAAGAATTTCCCCTCAGCCAGTCTTCCTGTGGTCCTGGATGATGTCCATTCCGTCTTTTAGTTGTATTTTGAAGTGGTTGTTCGAGGCAGCTAACTCTGGTGTTTACCTATGCCGCCATCTTGGTTTTCTCCTATTGTCTACAGCCAAGTTCTGGTTTTAATGACTTTGACAATTTAAGGAGTACTGGTTATTTTGGAATGTCTCTCAATTAGGATTTGATGTTTTGTTTGTTTTTTATGATTAGATTGGGGGTTGTGGGTTTTGGAAGGAAGACCAGAGTGCCATTCTCATCACATCAGATCAAAGGTATTCCCACCAATATGACCTATCACTGGTGATGCTGACCTTGATCACCTGCTGAGAGAGTGTTTGCCAGGTTTTTCCACTGTAAAGTCACTTTGTTTCCTCTTTCTGGATCGTACGTTTTGGTGGGAAGTCGTTTTGAGGCCCACCCCTAAAGAGTGGGACGTTCTGCTTCATCTCCTTGAGGGCAGCAGTGCACTCACGAGCCAGAAAGAGAAAGAAAGGGGGAGGGGAGAGTGATAAACAATAAAAAGGTAAATACTGGGAGATCTGGGTGATTAGAATCCTTTGTACTATTCTTGCAACTTATTTGTAAGTTTGAAGTTATTTCAAAATATAAATTAGAAAAAAATATAAAATATATCCACATTGTTTAAAATAAACCTTTACTTTGCAAGGCTATTGTGAGGACTGTGCTTGGTACGGAGTCCTTGCTCCATAGCTGATGCCACTGTCAGCTTGAGAAAGAGGCACTTCTCACAATAAGTCACAAGGGGGCATCTGAAAACCAAGAAACAAGGTCTAGCAAAGCTTCACTGGGCCTGCAGTGCTGCGGATGGGGGTTGTGCACCCTTCCTTACCCAGAATGCACTTAATCCAAAAGAAAAAGTAAGCTTTGTCTGTTACAAACTGGGGATCAGTCCATTCACAGTGGGTTTCACAGCAGCTCTCAAGGTCACTGCATCCATCACAACCAGGATATCCACTTTGGAGACCTATGGAAAGGGGGTTATGAATGTGACAGCAACGGAGAAGAGTGAGTCCAAGAATGGGAACCCAGACACACTGGCCATGTGATGAACTCAAGCCATAATCCTGTTTTCTTTTCTTTCTTTTTTGAGAGAGAGAGAGTCGGGGCGTGGGAGGAAGGAATATCAATTTGTTGTTCCACTTATCTGTGTATTCATTTGTTGACTCTAGTGTGTACCCTGACCAGAGACTGAACCTGGTGTATCAGGACAATGCTCTAACCAACTGAGCCAGACCAGCCAGGGCTCATCCTGGCTTCTAATCTGACTTCTGAGAGGTCCCTTTGGACTTCCTAGGAATCGATGTTTCTCAGCTTGGGAATATGTCTCTTCAGATCACCTGAGCCTATCACAGTGAAATAGCTTCTTCAGTGAAATAGCTCTAGTCCCAGGTCTCGTGGCCACATGCTTAGGTGGAAGGAGCGCAGGCCTTGGAGACAGACTGAGCAAGGTCCAAATCAAGGCTCTGGTACTTAATGTTGAGCCTCAATTTCCTTATCTGTAAAACAGGAATATCTTCCTTTTTAACCGTGTTGTAAGGATTAAATATACACAGATAGAACCTAGAACAGAGTAGATTACTAGTAGACACTCAATGAATGACAATATTTTATTTTCACAATTTTGTTTAGGCATTAGCAACAGGTAGGAAAAAAATGGCATTTAAAGTTAAGATAAACTGTTCAAGTTCCTGCTCTCTATGACCCCTGGCAAATCACTTCATCTCTCTGAGTCTCACTACTGGTATGTCACAAGGTAGCAAAAGATTACATGAGAACATGCCTTTAAGAACTCTGTAAACCAGACTGTTACCTGAGCCAGGAATTACCTTCTTCCCTTAAATAAATTCCAGAGCTCAGCCACATGGCTCAGCTCGAGTGTTGCAAGCTCCAAACTTTTTCTTTAATAATCTCTAAAATGTAAATGATACGGCTTTCATGTTCTGGAAAATGTTAAAAAGAATGAAGGTCTAAATGTAAAAGAACTAAGATACTAAGTGAAAATAAGCCACAGAACACATAATGATTCCATTTTTATGTTTAGAGAAAAAAAGAAGTAACTATAACACACTTTTGCTTAAAAGCCCCTTCATGACTCCCCACTGCCAGCCAAGTGCAGTTCAAGCTCCCCATCTGGCATTCAAGCTCCTTCACTATTCGGGCCCTGCCAGCCTCTCCAGCCTCATCCTGTACAGACCAGCCTGGCCATCCTATGAGCCCTGGGTTCCATCTCTGACTAAAGTGCCCTATACCATCTCTTTCTCTAGATCTCAAACTTCAGCATGCTTCAGAATCATGGAAGGCTTGTTAAAATTGATTGTAGGCCCTACCCATACAATTTCTGATTTAGGTCTGAGGTGGGCTCAAGAATTTCTATTTCTAATTCCCTGGTGATACTAAGAAGCTGCTCTAGGGACCACTCTCACAGCCACTGCCTTTACAATGTTTTGATTCAACTTCATCACCTGTATACAGGCTGACAGACCATCTTGGTTTGCTGGGACTGAAAGCCACAGGTAGCCGAAAACCCCTCAGTACAAGGAAAACTGGGACGGTAGTCATCCTACGTGTACAAAAGTCTTTCCCAGCATGCTGCCTATGGGATCTTTACTGCTCATGTCAACAGTCCTCCTCTAAGACCAGGCCAACAGGAAGTGCCTGAGAAAGGAGTTCCATCAGCCTGACTGACTTTCTGCTGGAATAAGAACATTTAACAAGGTTTCAAATTCTGACTCCTCCAAACATACTCTCTTTTCCCTTCAGAGACAGGTTTCGGTCCCCTGGTCCTGTAAACATTTAACACAACAGATGTGCTATCAAACCGTAAGCAACCCATCACCTTCCCCGTGTTGCTGCGGTGAGTTTATAGAAGGAGAAGTCGGGCAAATGCAGTGAGCACATGTGAGCTTCTTACTCAGTTCACATCAGTCTTGTGTGGAACAGTCGTTCCACGTGGCCAATGTAGCTGACTCTCTGTGACTTCCGGAGGGCGCCCCTACAACAAAGAGCGCGGTCCTCGGGAAGGACTGATGATGTTTCTGCTCATTGTTGGTCATGGTCAATTGTGTTCATTAACTGGGACTCCTCCTTCACAGGAATCAGAGGTCAGAGAGCTGATAGCGCCGCACGAGACCATCTCGACAGCATGTGTAGATCTGCTTCTCCCACGTGGCGACCTGGAATACAAGAGTTCATGGCTCACAGTAAGCCTGGAATTCTTCCATTTCAAACAGATAGAGCCCTGTCATTCACCCCCACTAGTACAAGGGAGTCTGAGAAGCTTTATTTACTCCAAAGACAAGAAAATAATTACATCTATATGTATTTTTAAAATGGCTGGCCATCGTCAAGAGCACTATGACTAGAGACACTAATTAGCTAATTGGAGAGCAAACTCATTAGTGTTGTGCCTGTTTAGAGTCTATAACTGGGAGGAGATAGATGGTCCATAATGGCCCTGGGTACCCCGGAGCCTCACAGAATTATACACAAAGAAATTCTCATTATATGCCTTTTTTCTGAGGAGAATTTCATAGAATCCTCAAAAAAGTCTGAGACTCAAAGAAGGTTAAGAGCGACTAAATCAGTGAAAATAGCATTAACTCAGAAGTTAGCTGAGTCTCAGGTTTGCTTATGCATAGCTACACGACCACGGGCAACTTTCTCAACTCCTCTGGGCCCCAATTTCCTTATTTGTAAACTGAAAATGACATATTAATTCACAACATAGAACACAATGCAGAAACTTTTAGAAGCAAAGTGGATCTATGTGCATTTGTCTGGAAAGAGCTCCAAGATGATAAGTAAAAAAACAAAACAAAACAAGTGCCCTGGCCGGTTTGGCTCAGTGGATAGAGTGTTGGCCTGCGGAGTGAAGGTCCTGGTTCAATTATGGTCAAGGGTACATGCCCAGTGTGGGACGTGCAGGAGGCAGCCAATCAATGATTCTCTATCATCATTACGTTTCTCTCTCTCTCTCCCTCTCCCTTCCTCTCTGAAGTCAATAAAAATATATTTTAAAAATAAAATAAAAACAAATAAACAAAAAGTCATAAGGCAATACATATAAGATGATCCCAGTTATGTACAAACTAAGATAAACCTGTATTATTTATATAAATACATAAGCACAAAAAACAGTCTTGAAAGATATGTGCCAAACTGTCAATGCCAGTAACTTCTGGAAAGAAGAGCTGACCTAGCTCAACCAGTGTGGCCCAGTGGTTGAGTGTCAACCTATGAACCAGATCGTCAGGGTTTGATTCCCAGTCAGGGCACATGCCCAGGTTGCCAGCTGGATCTCCAGTTTGGGGCGCGTAGTAGGCAGCTGATCAATGATTCTCTCTTATCACTGATGTTTCTCTCTCTCTCTCTCTCTCTCTCTCTCTCTCTCTCTCTTCTCTCTCTGAAATCAATAAAAACATATTTTTAAAAAAACAAGAACTAAACTAAAAAAGTCTTAGAGGAGACTTTTTCTAGCCATGTATTAATTACATAATTTTTAAAAATTATATGAAAAAGTAGGAGTAATAATACCTATACTTCAAGGAATGAAAACACTTAATCATTGAGATAATACATGTAAAACATCCTGTACAATGACTGGTCAATCAATATTATTTCCCCTTTTATTTTTCTCTTTCCATTCTAATCAAATCAATCAGTCTTGAACTTTAAATACTAATATCTAATATTTATAGAGTATTTTAAAATATATATTATTTTTATTGATTTCTGAGAGGAAGGGAGAGAGAGCGAGAGATAGAAACATCAGTGATGAGAAAGAATCATTGATTGGCTGACTCCTGCATGCCCCCTACTGGGGTCAATCCTGCAGCCCAGGCATGTGCCCTGACTGGGAATCAAACTGTTACCTCTTGGTCCATACGTCAATGCTCAACCACTGAGCCACTGGGCTATACAGTATTTTAAATTTATAAGGAGCTTTCATATGCATTATCCCAGTATTATCCTCATTTTACAGATGAATTGACAGACTGAGGAGATGAAGTGATTTTTCAAGTTTCTAGATCTAGTAAGTAATGAAGTAATTTCTGACTCAAAATTCTGATTTCTTTCTATCCCATCCCTAAGTATTTCATCACCCGTAAAAATCACAAAGTCACTGGATTCAGTCCCCTCCAAAGCTCTAGATCCCAGGTGAGAACCATCAAGTCTTGGTCTCCAGTCAGGCCTGTACCTTGTACACAGGGTCACAGTCAGCCCCAGTGAGCTCAATGACATAGTCTAAGTCTTGCTGGACAATGAAACAGCTTCCATCACCTAAAAGACAGAAAGAAAATTTAGAAAACTGAAGAGAAATCTGCATACAAAGAAGTTTTTAAAAACCTCAATATTTTAATTTATTTCTGTACGTCACTAACCTAAGGAAGATTGTCCTAAGACCTAGGAAGGCAAACAGGTCTCATTATGTAGACCAACTATGAGGACCTACAGTGGCTGCCTAGAATGCGAGGCTACAGAGAATCTGAAGGGCAAGTGCCTTCTGCGGGAAGAAGGTTTGTCTTTGATGAGCAATACCTGCCAAGGGCACAGAGCAAGCAACTACAGATTTAGGTATCTGTATGAAAACTTATCCTAAGCAATAACTTTTAACAGGGAAGTTATCTACATAAATGTTTTTCTAAAAAAAAAAAGAATTTATGCCCCACAAATTATTCTTCAATCTATAATATTTTTTTAAAAAATATATATATATTTTTATTGATTTTAGAAAGGAAGGGAGAGGGATAGAGAGATAAGAAACATCAGTGGTGGGAGAGAATCATTGATCGGCTGCCTCCTGCACGCCCCCCACTGGGGATTGAGCCTGCAACCCAGGCATGTGCCCTTGGCTGGAATTGAACCTGGAATCAAACCAGTCCGCAGGCCGACGCTCTATCCACTGAGCCAAACCAGCCAGGGCTCAATCTATAATCTTGACCATATATATTAGGCAAAGGAAAAAAGTTATACCAAGAAAATAAATGTATATCTAATTTTTAAGCTTTTCCTCAGAAGAGCATAGATAAATGAAACGGGGTTTTAAACTGATAATTAAGGTGATTTATTGGTTTTACTTGATATAAAAGTAGTAATACATGTTCATTAAAGAAAACTTTTAAAATAAAGAAACAGAGAAATAAAAAAGTCACCTATAAGCTATCAAAGATAATTACTGTTAACTTTTTTGTATAAAAGAATATCTTTTTAAAAAATATATTTTTATTGATTTCAGAGAGGAAGGGAGAGGAAGAGAGAGATAGAAAAATCAGTGATGAGAGGGAATCATTGATTGGCTGCCTCCTGCACACCCGACACTGGGGATAGAGCCTGCAACCCAGGCATGTGCCCCTGGCTGGAATAGAACCTGGGACCCTTCAGTCCTCAGGCCGAGGGTCTATCCACTGAGCCAAACCAGCTAGGGCATAAAAGAATATCTTTTTTTAAAAATATATTTTATTGATTTTTTTAAAGAGAGGAAGGGAGAGGGATAGAGAGTTAGAAATATTGATGAGAGAGAAACATGGATCAGCTGCCCCCTGCACACCTCCTACTGGGGATGTGCCCGCAACCAAGGTACATGCCCTTGACTGGAATCGAACCTGGGACCCTTGAGTCCAAAGGCTGATGCTCTATCCACTGAGCCAAACCGGTTAGGGCAAAAAGAATATCTTTTACATAAAGTTTTTTTCTGTATTAAGACTATGACTTTGTATAGAACACTTGAAAATAATCAAAAGATAATATTTACACTTTTCAGAAATCTGAAAAACTGCTTTTCAAAATTATGTTAATAAATTTTAGTTTAATTCTGTTCATCAATCTATATACTCCAACCAGCAACATACAGGAGGACTTTATCCTTCTTTCAATCTCCCCCCACTACACAGCCAGGTGGTTCAGCTGGTTGGGAGTATTGTCTCACCCACCAAAAAGTTGCTGGTTCAGTACCCAGTTGGGGTGAGTAAGGGAGGCAACCAATTGATGTTTCTCTCATCAATGTTTCTAAAACGATCTCTCACTCATGCTCTCCCTAAAAACAAACAAACAAATAAATAAATCAACATATCCTTGGGTATTAAAAATAATCCCTCCCACCAAATCCTTATCTTTTAGAGATACTCATAGAAATACTGACATGAAATAATACGTCTGTGATATGTTTCAAAACATGACACAAGATTGGTCATAAATTGTTAATAGTTGAAGCTGGACAACAGTTCATTATGCTATTCTTCTCTCTACCTCCGTACCTATCTGGCAATTTCCATAATAAAAAGTTTTAAAAGCTATTTAATCTGGCAATTTCAATCTCCTCTCTAGTGAATCAGAGTTCCAAAGTAGCTCAGAGATCATCTCTTTCCGGCTTCTAAACCAAGTACAGAATTCCTTCCTCAGCACCTTGCAGGGCAGCCACCAGCCTATGCTTGTCCATCTCCTGGTTAGTGGCGCTCATGACATCACTTCCCACTTCTTTCTTATGAAATAGAATGCTTTTGTTTATACTGAACTGAAATGTGGCTCCTGATAACTTTCTTTCTTTAAAAATAAAAGTTTTTATTGATTTTTTAGAGAGAGAGAAAGGGGGAGAGAGAGAAACATCAATGTGAGAGATACACTGATGGTGGCCTGCTGCACACCCCCCCACCAGGGATCAAACCCACAACCTGGGTATGTGCCCTGACTGGGAATCGAACCGGCGACCTTTCAGTGCATGGCATGATGCTCAACCAACTGAGCCATACCAGCCAGGGCCTGATAACTTTTTTTATTTGTCTTAATTTTGTCCTCTGAACATAGAGTTATAAATCTGTTTATTCCCTTTACTTTTAGATCAATGACAGAAGTTATACCTTTCTTTCCAGTAGAAAAGAGTTACAAAAGTAGAAGGGGCATGAGTTAGCTCTTTTCCACATGTTACTCTTCACTTCACCCACACATCCCCTTGGCAGAGTTATTGGTATGTTTTTTAAGTGGCCTGAAGATAGGGCGGGGGAGGGAAGAAGTGCAGAGGACCGGGGTAGCCTACACGCTGGTCCTCGGGGATACTGAGCTCTGTGACGTCAGAACTGCCACGGAGACGACATCAACTTCTCATGCGCTGCATTGTGACTCTAGGTTTGTTCACAATCCTCCTGTCTTAAAAGTCTCATTTTAAGCCAGAGTGGGAAACCATCCATAATTTTTGTGAATTTCTGCTATTACTTCAGCAAGGAAAGGTGATATCTACTACTGAGTTTCCTTTCTCTCCTCTCAAAAAAATGTATGTTTACAATAGGTCTTCTTTTGCACTCAAGTTTCTATGCAAATCTTACCTCCTGATAAGCCCAGCTCTAGTCCCATTTCCTCTAGAAAGCTTCTAACCAACCCGTCAATCTCTTGTAACACTTACTAATTCCTGTAACTTTAACATATCTTGCCCGATAGCATAATTCTACTTTGTGTGGGTGTGTGCCCTGTCACTGGATCACGATGACAAGGAACACTTTTTAGGAGGGCTTACAGGGCAAGGGGCAGTAACAGGAGTAAGAAGCAACTATAATTCATAGACCGTTTGCTTAATGCTGAGCACTTTACATATTTTATCTCTGAGGAGAGTGAGACAGAAAAGTGAAATGATTACCAAAGGTCATCGAACTATTAGATTAAATCATATATTATTGCCATTTTTATAAGTAAAAAATTATTATATATTAGGAAAGTCATATATGGCTGAATCTCATAGTAAGTGATGGAGTGATGATTTAAACTCATTGATTAGATTGTCAGTTTGGGTCCAAAATCTATGATTTTACTATATCATGTTGCCCAATAAAATATGGACCAAGTAGGAGGTCAGGTCTAGAAGCTATGGATTCTAATTAACAGCTGAAACCATGAGACCTGTCAGTCCTTGAGGAAGCACAGAGGAGAAAGGGGAAAGGACAAAGACTAAACTCAGGAAATATCTCTGGTTTAGGGATGGCAACAATAGTAGGAATAACAAAAGGATTCAATTTCAACAAACAACTTGAAAACATACAGTGTGCCATGAATCATGCTAGGAATATAAGCTACTGAAACCTGAGAAAGAATCAGTAACTGAAGAAAGAGAATAATCAGGAGATTAATTAGTATCACCAAAGTCAAAGGAGCTAAGTTTTTTTTTTTGTATTTAATTCTTTATTGTTTAAAGTATTACATAAGTCTCCTTTTTCCCCCATTGACCTCTCCCCGCTGCCCCCACCCCCCAGCACATGCCCTCACCACCCTCCCCCGATACACACCCAAAGGAGCTAAGTTTTCAGGAGGGACTAACAGTAATAAAAACTCTTACTACTCAGAGTCATGAAAATATGTACTCACTCATTCAACAAATACTTGCTATAATTCTTCAGTGCAAGAGCTGGGGTTACAGAGATGAAGAGATATAGTACTTGTCCTCATGGAAACTTAGGGACAAGACAGTCTATACCTTTGAAGGCCACTGGATCTAGCAAGAAGCTAACCATTGGGGGCTACAAGAGAGGAATTTGAGCAGAAAGATGAGGCCAGAATAGAGATCTCAAGGGAAGAGTGTGGCATGGCAGCAGCGGATAAAAGAAAAAGGATCACAAGAGTGGTAGCAGCAGCATCAGAGAAGCTGTCACAAGCTATGCCAGCTGCTCTCTTATTAAGGCTCCATAAAGAGTACTTCTGCGTCACTAAACTGATGCCAAGACAGGGAGGAAGAAAGACAGATTGAGAGAGAGCAAGTGCAAAGAGCTATAACACTGGGTCTGCAGATTCCTGACTACTCTGCTATGGTGTGGAAATCCTGAAGGAGAAGGGCTGAGGAAACGAGACATTGTGACAGGAAGGAAGGGTACCCATATATATTTGAGAGATGACCACGAACACCCAGGACTGTTGGCTACCTACTCACCTATTTCCCGCTCTTCTCCTGATTGGTAAAAGCCCAGATTCCTTCCAGTAACAGAAGAGGAGCCTGATTAGCCCAAGCGAATTATGGTAACTGTACTCTCCTTGCTGGTGACTGCGTTTGGCATGGGCATGTATTATAATCTGGACAATAAGGTTTACCTGCTGGGCTGTTCCTGATAATTTTTCTTTTAAATGCTGTACTAACTGTGAGCTCCTTTAGGGCAGACTGTCATTGATTCATTATTGAATCCTCAATGTTTTACAATAAAGGACAATACATTTACTCTACCAATGTTTACTGAGCACCAACTACATAGTGGGCACTAAGTTAAATGCTGGAGATACTACAATGAATAGCATAGTCACTACTGTCAAGGAGCTTGGACTGGAGGGGGACATGGACAATTACAATGCAGGGTGAGAAACACTATGTGATAAGCACAATATGCCAAACAATTGTGGAGGACCATGCCCCTAGCACAGCCACAGACCAGACCCTTAAACCTCTGTGTAACTGAGTTGCATGGAACCATCTCTCCTCATTGGCCCTTGGACTCACCTTGGCTAGCAATGAATCCGTCTCTGAATCTCAGGAGGGATAGAACTGGTGCTCCTGATCTGTGGATGACTTGTACTGGAGCCCTAGGATTCACAGTAAAAGGGGCAATTTTAGTTTTTTTCTCCAAAAGCAATGCCTGATTATATAGTACTAACCACATAACAGCAAAAAGGACATAAACAGAGATTAAATATTCATGTGGCTTCTTTCCTGCAAGATAATTAAATGGTAGATCAAGACAACCCATTCTAAAATACTGTGGAGTGAATCTAAATCTGTCTCTAAACATGTCATTGAACTGAATAAGCCTGGTCACCACCAGTATCTCCAGTTTTCAGGGAAGCCTTACAGTGTTAACAGTATGTAAATCTTTTTGCTTCTAGATTATTAAGACAGTTATGAAATATTAAAATTTTCAGGACTCTATATAAAACAAAACAGAAAGGTGACTATATATATATATTTTTTGAGTGATTTTATTGTATTTTTTTAAAAATAGATATTTACTGATTTCAGAGGAGAGAAAGGGAGAGCGAGAGACAGAAACATCAATGATGAGAATCATTAATTGGCTGCCTCCTGCACGCCCCCTACTGGGGATTAAGCCTGCAACCTGGGCATGTGCCCTGATTGGGAATCGAACCATGACCTCTTGGTTCACAGGTTGACACTCAACCACTGAGCCATACAGCTGGGCAAGAGTAATTTTATAATAGTGATCAGAGTGCCTATCTCCAGGGAGGCAAAAACAAGTACAAAAATAAAGTAACTTAACTTATGGAAGAAAAGGTATAAGCTAGTCACTCTTTAGCTGGAATTTCTTCACTGCTTTTGGAATAAAGTTCAAACTCCTTAGGCTGGTATGTAAGTCTTTTCTAGGCAAACTCACACTTTCCTGTCTATTGCCCTGTTTGCAGGGTACATATCTGTCATATCAAACTATTCAGAGATCCCTGAAAGTGCCATACTTTCAAATGCCTTCATGCTTCTCTATATGCTATTCTACCCTTTCTTCTTTACTTGGTAACTCCCTACTGGACAAGATGTAATTAAAGCCTCATCTCCTTGGGAAGCAATCTCACCTTCTTCCCTCTTCCTGGTGCTTCCTCATATCCCTGTCAGACCGCTGACCACACTGCATCACGACCGTCTTTTACTTGTTGGGTGTTACTATTAGACTCCAAATGCCTCAAAGTCAGAATCTATATCTTGTCTGGTTTTCAGTGCACTGCTCAAGGCCTGGTGCCCACAGAAGCTATTCAATAAATATCAGTTGAACAAAGGAAGGAAATAGAGAGAGGAAGAAGTTGTAGACATTGTAAATCCTGGGACAGAGAGGTTTTCTCTGGGTAGCTCTAGGATCAGAATAAGGCCTTTTTGAGATAGGTTATGATAAAAGCTAAATAAAGAACCAGAGCTGGCTTATTTCAAACTGAAAAATGATCAATTTTAGGCCAACCCAGATCTAATACAGAAAGAAAATTACTGAGCTCCTTAAAATTAAGTTTTAAACAATAATTTTAAAGTGAAATATTAGTTCATTATTTAACCTTAATTTCCAAAGCAATCACCACAATAGGACATTCATGACAGTATGAATCAAACCACCTTTTAATGATTCCAAGAATGATAAGGACTCTAGTAAGAACAATCAGACAATTCACACCAGAAAACCTTTATAAATGGAAAAATATATCCTTGATTCAATAATAGCCTATATGCTATGCTAAACCAATGGTAAAGCCAAAAAAATTTCCACTCTGTAGAAGGTCTACATCATGCAAAGGAATGGTGACTCACCTTGGACTCCTCACATCCAGCTGATAAATGTTTCCATCCTGTGTCCCAGCCAACAGCAAGAAGCCAGAGAGAAAAGTACAGCAGTTGAAGGCATCTGAGCCAATAAAGAGGAATACCTGGGAAAAGTAGGAAATAAAAATGCTGTTAAAGCTTAATTTGTTTCCAGGAATAAACAGGCACCAAAAAAATAAAAATTTTACTATTTTTAGAGATCTTTTCTTTCTTCCCCCTTTAAACATTCCTTTATTTTATTTTATTTTTTATTGCTTAAAGTCCATTTTTTCCCCTCGTATTTTTTTTTTAAGAATAAAATTTTCCCCTTTATTCATTTATTTTTATTTTTCAATCCTCACCTGAGGATATTTTTCCATTAATTTTTAGAGAGAGTGGAAGAGAGAGGAAAGACAGAGAGAACTATGGATGTGAGTGAAGCACATCGATTGGTTGCCTTCCGCATGGGCTTGGGCCCAGGTCAGGGCAGAGTCTGCAACCGATGTACATGCCTTTGACTGGAATCAAACCCGGGACCCTTCGTTCCACAGGCTGACATTGTATCCACTGAGCCAAACCGGCCAGGGCTCTTTAAGCATTCTTGGTCTAAACCATGGCCTCACCAACAACTGAGAAAGAAGCACTTTCAGAATTTCAGGAACCTGAGGTTGGCTGAGGACTTGAGCAGTTTATATAATACCCCAGTCTGAGGCAGCAATTGTCAAACTACTACCCCTCAACACAATGACTCATAGAATCCTCAACACCAAAAATCCTTCTTTTCATTACAACCTTTGAGAAACACTTGCAATGCACACATTTAAGATTTGCTTCATGTCACTTATAACCACCTTTTGAAGGGAGATAATTTGTAGGAAAAAACCCAACCTTAAATAAAGTGACAAAACTTAAAGAATCACAATTCTCCCTATGTATTTGAGAAAAGAAATTATCAGATTTTTATTATTCCTTACTGTTAGCTGATATTGATAATTTCTCCCTTGAATGTTCTTAAAAGGAAAGACACAAACCAAAACAAAACAAAAGTCCTTGATTTCCCTTTGGAAGTAAAAGCCAGCATGGAAATTCAGAGTGCAAAGGCAGTATGATGACAAACAGTGATGTTCCTGGAACAACTTTGAAAATGGAAACATCACCAATAAAATGAACTAATGATCTAAAATGAAAATACACAGCTTATGGCCAAACCAAATCATTAAAATTATCTGGTGATGGAGTTAAAATTTGAAAAACCTAATCACAGGGAACTCAGAGTTTAATTAAGAGCACAGTATGCTCAGCAAAACTTCAAAGTTAAATTCAACTGCCCTGACTGGTTTGGCTCAGTGGAAAGACCGTTGGCCTGCGGACTGAAAGGTCCCAGGTTCGATTCCAGTCAAGGGCATGTATCTTGGTTGTGGGCACATTCCCAGTAGGGAGTGTGCAGGAGGCAGCTCATCGATGTTTCTCTCTCATTGATGTTTCTAACTCTCTATCCCTCTCCCTTCCTCGCTGTAAAAAATCAATAAAATATATTTTAAAAAAACAACAACAAACAAAAAAGTTAAATTCAACTAATTCTTCTATAAAAGATATTCCAATCATTATCTGATCTAGAGCCCTGAGTGTGTGAGTTCTTTACTCAGAATTTCTTCATGTCACCTTAGAGGTGGAAAGGAATCTATACAATCATTTTCTGTACAGCACATGAAGGCCCAGAGGCAAAGTGACTTGCCGTAGAGCATTTAATCCCCATCACATAACCCTATGAGATAAGTCCTACCAGGCCCAGTTTAATGATGAGGAGACTGAGGGTCAAAGAGGTTAAGTAACCTGTGTGATGTCATAGCCATAAGTGGAAGAGCTGGAATTTAAATGTTGCTCTATTCTAAATCCCATGCTATTAATCACTACAATGGACTGCCTCTCACTCATGCAGCTTCCTCAAAAGGTGAGCACAGTGCGATTGCAGAAATGTTTCTAAAACAGTCTTCCAAGAATCAGAGTGAACCAGCTTGCCCCAGAGTTCGAAGAACTTAGAGGAACCACTTGCCGGCTGCCTGCTCTGTAGTCCCAAGCACTGAAGCTTCTTATCTTCCCGGGCCAACAGCAGCATTTTCGATTCTGTTCCAACCTCCCGTTCACCTGCATGACAGATGAGCTATGTCAATAACTGGTTGATCAGCTGGCAGTACCCAGAAAGCAAGACACAGATGGCTGTTTACTGAATTACTCTGTTAGTGATTCACTCTTAATTTTTTTTAAAAATATACTTTATTGATTTTTTTACAGAGAGGAAGGGAGAGGGATAGAGAGTTAGAAACATCCATGAGAGAGAGAAACATCGATCAGCTGCCTCCTGCACACCCCCTACTGAGGATGTGTCCGCAACCAAGGTACATGCCCTTGACCGGAATCGAACCTGGGACCTTTCAGTCTGCAGGCTGATGCTCTATCCACTGAGCCAAATCGGTTACGGCTCACTCATTAATTTTTAAAAATATATTTTTTATTAAATTTTAAAATGAGAAAGGGAGGGAGGGAGGGAGGGAGAGAGGGGTGAGAGAGAGAGAGGGAGAGAGAGAGAGAGAGAGAGAGAGAGAGAATGAGAGAGAGAGAGAAAGAAACATTGATTGGTTGCTGCATGTGTGCCTCCTATCAGAGATCGAGCCTACAACCCAGGCATGTACCCTGATCGGGACTCAAGCTGGCAACCTTTTGGTGCACTGGATGACGACGTCCAACCAACTGAGCCACACTGGGGTCAGACAGTGTAAGGGTTTGTGATAAACCATGGTAAAGGGTTAAGATTTTAATATATGTGTAAAAGGAGGCCACTGGAGAAGAGCAGGGACAAAGAACAGTGGCATGACTTGATTTATGTTTTTTAAATGACCACAATGGTTGCTCTGATGAGAATGGATTCTAGAATAGTAAAGGGTGTCCCAAAATTCATGCAAGAAGTAATTTTGATAGAAAACACAGGTTTATAATTAAAAATTGTAAATTTTTATTGATTCATAAAGTATACAGTATAGGGTTATGTATGGAATAGCGTATCGGGTAAATGCCCTCCACGGCTTTTCTGGCACATACGCACTCTTTTGTTGAAATTTTCCATGACCGTTTTGCATAAATGTGGCTGAATTTCAACGAGGCTCATTTTCATCTTGATGGCTTGGTTAATCGACAAAATTGTCACATTTGGGGTTCAGAAAATCCACGAGTGATTGTTGAGAAACAAATGCATCCACAACGTGTCACTGTTTGGTGCGGATTTTGGGCTGGAGGCATCATCGGACCATTCTTCTTCGAAAATGCGGCTGCTCAGGCAATAACTAATGAGTGCGTATATGCCAGCAAAGCCGTGGAGACCATTTACCCGATATGCTATTCCATACATAACCCTATACTGTTATTTTTATGAATCAATAAAAAATTTACAATTTTTAATTATAAACCTGTGTTTTCTATCAAAATTACTTCTTGCGTGAATTTTGGGACACCCTTTACAAGCAATAGATGATGATAGATTGCACCAGGATACTGGTAGGAGGGAGAATGGGAGGGAGAGAGCAAGGTGGAAAAATTAGAAACACTTTGAAGGTAGAGAAGACTTTGCTGATGTAGGACATGAGGAAAGGCAGGGGTGAACTATGAATGAATCCTAGGCTTTGGGCGTGAGCAATGGCAAGATGGGGAAAAACAGATTGGGGGGTGGCGGTAGGAATAAAACACTCCGTATCAGACAAGGTAAGTTTGAGCTATTAGACATCTAAACAGAGTCTAAAACACAGGTGAGAGGCCTATACTTTAGATATACTTTTGGAAATCACCAGCTTAAATACAATACTTAAAGCCATTGATCACCCAGTAGTTACTGTAGTTAGAGCTGAGGGGCCTCCAATACTTAAAGGTCAAATAAAGGAGATTTATGAAAGTAGAATTAGCAGCCAGTGAGATAGAAAGAAAAGCAGTATAGTGTGGTATCACAGAAGCCAAGACAGAAAAGTTTCCTGAGAAGAGGGGCTGGGATTAAACTCTGTAGAAAATTCAGAAAGAAAGGCACAGAGAAGTAACACTGGATTAGGCAACGTGGAGTCCCTGGTGACCCTGCCCTAGCTCCCATCCTCCCATCCTTCCTATTCTTGTCTGTCCACCTGGAATCCATCCTTCAAGATTCAAGTCAACTCCTTTTGTGACACCTTTCACATCACACTAACCCAATACAGTGTCTTCTTCCAAGAATCACTAAGTTATTCAGCCAAAAATGTATTGTTCTCTGTTTTATAGGCATTCATCAAATCTGATATTAAGTTGTAATTACTCAAATGCAATAACTATGACACATAGTTCTTTTGTAGATTTTAAGGCAACAGAAACAGAATAGGTTTGCAATAATATTAATCTTATGGTGAAACAGAAATACCAGCTACAGAGCAGAAAAGGAGAAACTAAGGCAAATACTGATGGGCCTAAGGAAACAAAATAGCTCATAGGTCATTATCAACTTACTGGGCATCTGCTCAGGGCAGCCGAGGTTGATGGAGTTGTCAGCAGCACCCACAGCCACTCCATTGATGGAAGAACCACAGTCTGCAATGACTCCCAGGCAGGCTGAGCGCCCACAATCCCAAAGTCGTGCTGTTCCATCTCGAGAACCAGATACCACATTCCTCCCCCGATCAACAATGGCTGTATCTAGGATACCTGGCAAGAGGAAAAAAAAGATCCTGAGGTAGAGTAAGTAGGAAAGGAACTTCAAAGGCAGAGAGGACAGATCTGCATATATGACTCCACTCCTTCACAAACATACTGGATAGATACTACATGCTGGGCACGGTCAAGTGCTAGAAAAAACAAATAAATAGAACAGAGTCCCTGCTTCCCAACGGTTCAAAGACTGGCTGTGAGAGACAGACATGGAAAAAGCTTTGGCCCTGACCAGTCTGGCTCAGTGAATAGAGCATTGGCCTGCGGACTGAAGGGTCCCAGGTTCGATTTCGGTCAAGGGCATGTACCTTGGTTGCGGGCACATCCCGAGTAGGAGATGTGCAGGAGGCAGCTGGTCGTTGTTTCTCTCTCATCGATGTTTCTAACTCTTTATCCCTCTTCCTCTCTGAAATCAATAAAAATATATTAAAAAAAAAAAAAAGAAAGAAGCAGACAGAGGGCCCCTGGCAGGGTGGTGCCCAGGAGAGGGCAGTGGGTGGGCGGACACAGGCCCCTAGCAGTGAGTGCACGCCCATCCCGCACTGCGGGTCTTCTGGAGAATCTGGGCGTTCACTTGAAAAATCACTTTTTAAAAAAGATCCTGGTGGTGCCGAACCGGTTTGGCTCAGTGGATAGAGCGTCGGCCTGCGGATTCAAGGGTCCCAGGTTCGATTCCAGTCAAGGGCATGTACCTTGGTTGCGGGCACATCCTCACTGGGGGGGCGTGCAGGAGGCAGCTAATCGATGTTTCCCTCTCATCAATATTTCTGACTCTCTATCCCTCTCCCTTCTTCTCTGTAAAAAAATCAATAAAATGTATTTATAAAAAGATCCTGGTGGTTCCATTGAGAACTCATTGAAAGGGTTAGTCTCCCCTTCTTAAAAGGAAGGATGTGACTTTTGGTCCAGCCAAGATGGAGTAACCCCATTCCTCCCAGGTTCTTCCTCTCACAACTAAAAGAACCTGGAATAACAACACACAAGCCTAGGAAGACTGAAGGATGGAAAGAAGAAGGCAGACCATCTAGGGACCTCAGGATTTGAACAATGAGCTCCCTGGACTTCCTTATTGCTTCCCACCTACGCTGGACAGGACTCTGCAGAAGTCTGCAACATGCAACTGGTTCAAAAACCAGACACAGGACCATCTTTCCTTCCCTCCGGCAGCCGCAGCCATGAAGGTTGAGCTGTGCAGCTCCAGTGGGTACAACATCTACCCCGACATGGGAGATGCTATGCCAGGACCGACAGGAAAGGTTTCCAGTTTCTTAATGCAAAATGGGAGTTGGCGTTGCTTTCCAAGAGGAATCGTTGACAGATAAACTGGACTGTCCTCTACTAAAGAAAGCACAAAAAGGGACAGGCGGAAGAAATTCAAAAGAAAAGAGCCCGCCATGCAGTCAAAGTCCAGAGGGCCATCCCTGGTGCATTTCTGCCGATATAATGGCCAAGAGGAACCAGAAACCTGAAGTTAGGAAAATTCAACAAGAACAAGCTATCAGGGCTGCCAGGAAGCAAAAAAGGCTAAACAAGCATCTAAAAAGACAGCACTGGCTGCTGACAAGGCTCCCACAAAGGCAGCACCTGAGCAGAAGATGGTGAAGCCTGTGAAGGTTTCTCTCCCCGTGTTGGTGGAAAATGCTAAGTTGACAGATGAGATTTTTATTTTTTATTTATTTTTATTTTTTTTAAAATATATTTTATTGAGTTTTTACAGAGAGGAAGGGAGAGAGATAGAGAGTTAGAAACATCGATGGGAGAGAAACATCGATTAGCTGCCTCCTGCACATCTCCCACTGGGGATGTGCTCGCAACCCAGGTACATGCCCTTGACCGGAATCGAACCCGGGACCTTACAGTCCGCAGGCCAACGCTCTATCCACTGAGCCAAACCGGTTTCGGCGGCAGATGAGATTTTTAAATAAACACCTGACTATAACTAAAAATAATAATAATAAAATAAATAAAAAAAAATTAAAAACCAGGCAGTTTTCAAAAAACAAATAAATTCCCCAAAAAAGTCTGTTGCCCCTCACATAAGACTGGGAAAGGGGTGGCCTTCAGAACAGAAAATCTTTTGGCCACATCCACCCCACTCAAACAGCAAGAGGACAACTGCTACCTCCCCCTCACCCACGGTTTCAGTGGGGCTGAATAGGGAACGACAGCTCTCCACCCAAGGAAGCGGAAGGCAGCACTCCAATTTCCCCAGGGACACTGACAGGCCCAGCAAGGTACTGTCGGCAGGGTTCAGAGGTGAACTGAATCTCTACCCTCACCTGACACAGCAACAGGTGGGAAGAGGTAGAATGAGATCGTGACAAATAGCACTTTCTCCAATCACCCTTCATACCTCCTTTGTGACCTTTGAAGGTTGCCACGCAGCTAGCATCTTCAGCTGACCAGATCTTCAGCTGGGCATCCATTCCCCCACTCAGAACCACAAGGCCTGATGGGAAAAACCTGCAACAATTCACATCAAACACATGTCCTTCCAATACTCTCTGGAAAAACAAAAGAAAATTCCAGGCTAGTTCTCTTGTCCATCCCTTGATGTTCTCTTACCTCCCATATCCTCGGTCCCTTAAATGAAATATGTACATGCTAAACATGCATGCTGGTTTTAAAACGAAGGAGGTCCAAATAATCTCTTTAGCTCTTTTGTCTTCCAGGTAGTGTTCTGAGAGCTAGGTTCCTTTTCCGGTTTGGGCTACAGATGTGGATTTGAACTCCATGGCTCTCACAGCCACCCTAAGTCTAGTTCTACATATAAGAAGGTGAGGAGGGCCCTAACCAGGTTGGCTCAGTGAATAGAGCATCAGCCTGGGCACAAAAGGGTCCCAGGTGTGATTGCGGCCAAGGAGACATGCCCGGGTTGCAGATTCAATCCCCCCACATTAGGGGATGTGCAGGAGGCAGCCAATCAATGATCCTCTCTCATCATTGATGTTTCTATCTCTCTCTCTCTCCCCCTCTCTGAAATCAATAAAAAAAGAAAAGAAAAAGAAGCAGCAGCAGCAGCTGAGGAGATTGGGGGCTATGGCATTAATTAATGTAACAGCCTAGTTACTCAATCTTAGAAACCATCACTGAAGGCAGTTCATACCAAGGGACCACACACTTAGACATTCACTGGCCTGGCTCCTCCACTGTCCCAGCCCCAATTTGTTCTGGCAAATCACCTAGCTTGAGGATGGTTTTCAATTTAAAAAGGGAACAAAGATCCACTGAAGTGCAGTGGTACTATATTTACAGATAGAGACACTCTTCTTTCCATGACCCAGTCTAAAGTTTCTAAGACCACCCTTCATGTATAAGACCCTGAAAGTGTATCCAAAGCCTTTACTCTGAGTTCTCCATTGGAAGCCTGCCAGATTTTCATGCTCCCATCAGCACTAGAAGACACACCAAGGCCTCCTCCACTAGAAATGTCCAGGCATGTTATCTGTTCAAAAGACAAAACAACCAGTGTTACTAATAATAAAATGCTCCTCTTCCCTTGAACTATGTTATAAATACCCCGTCTCACACTCCTCCAAGACTTATCCCAACACAAAAGACATGTGTTTCATGTAAAGGATGCCTTATCACCAACCTCTCAACAAGGGTAAAGCCAACACCTTTTACTTATTGAAACAAAAGGGGCAGGCTGGGTGAGGTCAATGGGGGAAAAAGGGGACATATGTAATACTTTCAACAATAAAGATTTTTAAAAAGCTAATGAAGTAAAAATAAGATTGTTAGTTTATACACTAATCCAATATGATTAGTGTCCTTGTAAAAAGAGGAAATTATGACACAAACACACAGAGTGAAGACCATGTGAAGACACAAGCAGAAGATGGCTATCTACAAGCCAAGGAGAGAGACCTCAGAAAAACCAACTTTGTTAAAACCTTGATGTTGCCGGGACCAGTTTGGCTCAGTGGATAGAGCGTCGGCCTGAGGACTGAAAGGTCCCAGGTTCGCTTCCGGTCAAGGGCATGTACCTTGGTTGCGGGCACATCTCCAGTGGGGGGTGTGCAGGAGGCAGCTGATCGATGTTTCTCTCTCATCGATGTTTCTAACTCTCTATCTCTCTCCTTTCCTCTCTGTAAAAAATCAATAAAATATATTTAAAAAATAAAAATAAAAAATAAAACCTTGATGTTGAACATTAGCCTCAGAATTGTGAGAAAATAAATTTCTGTTAAGCCAAAAAACAACAAAAAAAACCCAAAAAACAGAAAAAACACACAAAAAGATCCTATATAATAAAGAACTAATATGCTAATTAGACCTGATGGCAGAACTATCTTCCAGAACAACTTTCTGGAAAGACCAGTGGGTGGGGGGTGTGGCCACGAGGGCCAAGGCAGCGGGGGCTGTGAAGGCCTACTCTTGCATGAATTTCGTGCTTCGGGCCTCTAGTATTCTTATAATCATCTACAGTCTCCTGTTTCAGCTACAAAGTTTTCCCTATCCCCATATCATTTTCCATCGTTTCCATCTTTTGCTATTTTATTTTAAAATTAATTTACTTCTCCTAATTCTTAGGAACCTACTTACACAGAAGACAGCCTTCCACGATGTTCCAAAAGGATTCAAGGAAAAACAAAGTGAATTGCTTTCAATTTACTACTTCACATATCCTCTGTAAAATCCTGGGTGTGTGTGTGTGTGTGTGTTTCAGAATAAGAGAATCCCAGATTTACTTAAGTGGTTTCAATATGAGCAATCACTTCATGAATAAGCCATGATCAGAATGCCAAGTCTCCTTCATATACATTCATAAATACATACTTTTTTATTTAATAACACCCAGTTGCAAATATTTCAGAACTGTAAGACTGAGACATATTCCCAGCAACAATGATTCCCATATGACCTAAATTTTTAAGGAAAAAGTAGGGACTTTTGCAGTAATTATCTAACCTTCCATTTTACTTTGCTCTTTGACAGTTAAGCCATAATGAATAGGGTTAGCAAGAACTAAAGGGATATGTCAACTCTAATATTTTCCAAGACTTTTTCTTCTTCATATTGGTTTCTCAGAATAAAAGAATTGTTAACTTAATTGTGGAACATTTAATTTTAGAAATTATGACAACTAACATTTATATCACATTTTATCATTTATAAAACACTTTCAAATACATTACATAGAGCCAGGATAGAAACCTACGTCAGAGTCTAAACCTAAAAATCTATTTCTTAGTCAAAACAAAAGGACAGTCAATGGGACAATGCTAAATACTGGGTAAAGATGACAATTCAAGCCAGTGAGATAAAGGATGAATTACTTTATAGTGCTGTGACATGCTAATCATTTCAAAAAGAATTAAGTTAGATCTCTACTTCAAACCAAACAACAAAATAAAGTTTAAAATGTAAAAAATAAAACAAAAATTCAAAGAAAACACTGTATTTACATTTTTAATTAACAAACACTTATATTATGCTTACTATGCTCCAGAGACAATTCTAACTGCTTCAATCCTCATAAAAACCCTAAAGATAAATATTATTTTTACCCCCATATTATAGCAGCTTGTGGCACATGGAGTTAAGTATGTGGCCTAAGGTTACACAGTTAGTAAGTGGCAGAATCTTGGGAGTCAAATCAATGAGTCTGTTTCTAGAGTCAATGTTCTCATCCATCATATTATGCAACTAAAGTAACTTTATATATATAGTCATGTACTACCCTAAGCAAGACTCCAAAGGCAGTTACTATAAAGGAATAAATTGATAGGTTTTATTCTCTAGAAATATTAAATATCTCTATGTCAAAAGACAACATTAAACAATAAGCTAGAAAAATGATCTGCAAAATATATAGCAAAGGATCAATACCCTTAATATAAGAGCGTTTGCCAATAAAGAAAGAAATTCACACTTAAAGAAATGGGCAAATGATATGAAGAGTGACCAATAAATATATGAAAAAGTGGTCAACCCATGATTAATCAAAGGAATGCAAATTAAAATAACAATGAAATACCATCTCTCAAATAGGTAAAACTTAAAAATTTGAATATACAATATTGAGAGTATGTTAAGTCAGACTGATATAAAAGCACAGTAAGAGCCTTTTTTAGTCAATGGATAGAGCCCAGCGATAGGTCAATTAATAAAAAATTTCAGTTAAAGTGGGGAAAATAGTGAAAATCGATGCATAAATACCTACATTTTATTTGATCTCAAATATATAAATGTACATTAAAATTCATTAATCTTTTCATTAGTCCATTGATTATAAGGAACCTTCACCTTGACCTTCTTTTATTTTTTATTTATTTACTTTTAAGTTTATTTTTTACTGACAGTATTAAACTTGACTTTCTTTTAATAAACTATAATCCAAGGCATAATTTAGTTTCCAGTTTCTCTGAAGTAAGGTAAATCTTTGTTCACTCTTACAAAGCAATCTATGAACAAAAATTCAACTAGTGTTTAAAAAAAAATCTTTTCCCTAACATTTTGCATTTACCTTGTTCACACATAATAGCAGTTAAAAACAAAACAAATAAAACGCTTCTTTACCAAGTCTTTACAAAGCAATCAATTTAGTTTTCAGACATAACCATTCTCTGCCTTTTCACACACATATGTCATCAGTTTAACATATTTAGTTAATTAACATAATTTCAAAAACAACATAACTGGCAGTGCAACTGACCTTTGGTAAGCACTCAACTTACCCAGTAGTGTCAGAGTAGGCAGACCTCAAAGAGCTTATAAGCTAAGAATATGCTGTGCCCACAAGTCAGTATGTTTTACAGAGTGCATGTAGAGCAAAGGTTGAATGAGTAGATCAGTTAAACTGAGGTCAGTCAGAACAGACCAAAAGCCTTATAATTTGCATTCCCTGTGACTCAGCAACTCCACTTTTACAAAGTAAACTAATTTCTTCCTATCTTTGTGAAGAAAGGGTTAGCTATATCATCAAAATAGGAATGGATGAACTCAAAATATCTGAATGTCCAGTAATGTAAGATTGGAAAAACAAATTATATTAAAATCAGACAGTGGAATACTATGCAGCTCTTAAAAGAATACATAGAAAGATGGCATAGACCCTAGCCAATCTGGCTCAGTGGATAGAGTGTCAGCCCATGGACTGAAGGGTCCTGGGTTCGATTTTGGTCAAGGGTACATGCCTGGGTTGCGGGCTCAATCCCCAGTGGGGGGTGTGCAGGAGGCAGCCGATCACTGATTTTCTCTCAGCATTGATGTTTCTATCTCTCCTTCTCCCTTTCTCTCAGAAATCAATAAAAATATATTTTTAAAAAAGAAAGAAAAATGGCATAGGATGATGTACATAATATATTATTAAAGAATAAAAAGCAAGTTATAAAATAGTAGGTACTGTAAAACCTATTTTGGTGAAATATTTAAAGAAAAAAGATTGAGAGGAACAAGTAAAATAATGATAAAGCTTAGCATGATGCTGGCACATAGTAAACAATAAATGTTAGCTATTATTATCATGATTTTTCTTAATAAAGGCTAAGCAACAAAAGTTCACAGTGGTTATTTTTAGGGTATAGAAAAAATGAGTGATTCACTTTGCTTTCTAATTCTTAAATTTTCATCCCTAAATATATATTTGTTTTTGCAATAAGGAAAAAAAATAGCTATTTTAAAAATCTACCTATCACACAATAAGAAGTGGAAGGCTTTAATATAACCAGTTTATCTACATATTTCTCACTTCTGCTTTCAAAAGCCCATGGTAGTAGAAAAGGCTTTATCACAAAGATATTTGAAAATTATTCCTCAATAAGTTATAGTCAGAATTTTGAGAAAATGTCTCTGTCCTGTAATCAAAGGGACAAAAATATGAGCAGCGGCAAATTATGCAAACATCAGTTACAACCACCATTACCCAAAACCCGGTAGGTAGCTCTGCTAAAACATGTATAAGGAAATTTCATTTCAAAATTCCTTTCTCTAAGATTACCAGTGAGTGGATTTGTACATATATTCTATGTGGTCCCAAGTACCAGTTTTGTCTAACATTAACATACTTCATGAGCTGTTACCTTATAATCAAAGAAGTGAACCACATTAATTATGAGTGTTTATAGCACTGTAAACAAAAAGATAAAAAGAAAAATTAATTAATGATATTACATTTCTCCTCATTTTATCAAAATACTTACACTCTTTGCATGAATTCTGGAAAAAGTAGTGTATGGTGTCAAAAACTTCGAAGATGCATTTTCCTTTGGACATGAAATATGAATGCTTTTCTAAACAGAGAGGAAAAGATGAAATACATCAGTAAAGCTACTCCAATGAAATTAAAGCCTCGTAAAGAAAACATAAGGACAACAGGAAATTCTCACCTTTTAAGTGTGTCCTCTCCAATCCTCCTTCCCCAGCCCACAAAACTATCCCTCCCTATTAGAGTAGTAGTCCTTTCACTGCAGGGGCTGCAATGTAATTGGTATCACTGAGATGCCATTATCTTTTTATGTTAAGACAAATCAACAATAAAATACAGCTGACAAACATGAGAACATTACTTTTTAGAAGAAAATTTAATACCAACACTCTTAATTAGCGGTGGGGCAAGGAACAGGATCAAGAGATGTGAGGAAACAGCACCAGCCCTGAAGCCTAGACTAGAGGACTAGTCTAAAAGTAAACTTGCTGCCTATAAGAACGTTTAGGAAAAAATGTAGACTACTACCATCTACAGTTACCAGAGAAAACTGGTCAAGTAAATCATGGCACACTCTTCCAATGTGTAGGGCCTGGTCAGGCTTGCAGTGCCCATTCCCACGTGGACTTACACTGGCTGTACATGTTTATAGACTGGTCACCATCACATCCATAGCAGTATTATGACTCCCCATGTTTTGCCTAGTCATTATCATATATCTTTCAGCTACTTTAGCAAGATAACACTAGTGACAGAGTAAGAAATTATACCTTGAACCAGATGTTAGATTCAGGTGACATGATTTGCCAAAGGCAGCCCTTGTAACCAATACAAGTAAGTATATTGGTATTTCAAGGTAGTATGTGTAGAGGTATTAAAGGCTTAGCAAAACCTTCCTCAAGGATTTGATAAGACAGTTCCTTCCTCTAAGCAGCAGGATACCAACACCGTCGTCTCAGGGCATAGCTCCTATATACAGCTGAGGAGTTGCACTCTCCAAATGGTCCCAAACCTATTATCTCTTCCATAGAAGTACTTCAAAGTTTCTGAAAATTTTGCTGGACAATGAAAATGTCTTCAATAATCAAGATTTTTAGAACTTCTTTATAAGGCTAATCTATGTACAACAAGCACAGTCCTCACAGTTCCTTAGAAAGAACAGTTTCAAAGTCATAATATTGTTATCATTGGAAATCAATATGCTCTTATTAAAAGTCTTCTACGCCTTTAAAAACACAATTAGAATATCTCTACAAATAGTACTACCTTAGCCAGCATATCTATGCCTGGCTGCCTGCAGGCCTTTCATTAAATGAGTTTTTGCTTCTAACCGCGTGACAAAGCCCACACGCTGCCAGAGTGCTGACCTGGATTTGGAATTGTCTCCTGTACCCAAAACTAAAGTGTCAGCTAAACTCTCCTCGATAAATACTCACACCAAGCAAGGATGCAGGGGCTCTGAGAGCTTAGTGTTCAGGCCTCTTTAAGTATTGGTTTGTTCTCAGAAGAGTTCATTTCCTTAGGCTAATTACGTGAAAGAATTCAAGAATCAGTGGTTTTCTCCTGCTTATCAATCCTGCAAATCAACCTTTAACCCATAAACATACTATGAAGGAAGATAAATGTTGAACTACCTTCCAATGTCAGCAGTAGAGAGTCATGCTGTTAATGAAAATATTTTAAAGAAAAGCTGCAGGACATATCAAAACATACAGAATTTAGGGGGTGGGGGATAGGAGGGGGAAGTGTGAGTATTCCACACTAAGGTAAAATTCAAAGTCAAACTTTTTATCTTCTGGGGTTAGGTTTTTAAGCATATTAACAGGACTGTTTTAAAGAAAAATGTAGCAGCATCAAGTAGCAAAGTGACTCATGGAAGTTAGGAAACAAATGAATGTTCAACCATAAGCACTTACTGTCTGACCCAACAGGTACACAGCAGAAATTAACAATGATGTTGGAAGATAAGAATTGTATCAGGGCCTGAATATGAAGGGAAGAAAGGAAGTCAGCACCTAGGCTATGGGTGGATACCTGGGAAAAATGTAGGCTTGCAAGGTGGTATTATACTTTTAGTTAGACATATTTTGGGTTTCAATTCCGACATGCAGTCTAACTAGCTTTGATTATTAGGGGTTAATGAGTCTCTTTATCTACAAAATGGACATTGAAAATGCTAATCCCAAATGCTGTTATTCTGATAAACAACAATAACTCAATTTTTGTAATATTCTAGTTCAGCCGTGGGCAAACTACGGCCCGCAGGCCGGATCCGGGCCGTTTGAAATGAATAAAACTAAAAAAAAATAAAATAAAAGAACGTACCCTTTTATGTAATGATGTTTACTTTGAATTTATTTCAGGGAAACATTTACTTTTTAAGAACCCATTGTGGCCCTCGAGTCAAAAAGTTTGCCCACTCCTGTTCTAGTTTCATTCATATACAGTCTCACTCCCCACTAATCAGCCTATGAGGTAGAATATTATCTGGGGTTTTTTGTTGTTGTTTTAAAATATATTTTTATTGATTTCAGAGAGGAAGGGAGAGGAAGAGATAGAAACATCAATGATGAGAGAGAATCATTGATCAGCTGCCTCCTGCATGCCCCACACTGGGGATCGAGCCTGAAACCCAGGCATGTGTCCTTAACAGAATTGAACCCGGGACTCTTCAGTCTACAGGCTGACGCTCTAACTACTGAGCCAAATCAGCTAGGGCTTCTCTCTGTTTTATAGATGAGATGAGAAAACTGAGGCTCAGGGAACTAAGTTATTTGTCCAAAATAATACTTTTTCTTTTTTAAAAATTTGAATTTATTGGTGTGACACTGATTAATAAAATGATATAGGTTCCAGGTGTATAATTCTATATAGTACACCATTTGTATATTACACTGCTTGTTCACTACCCTGTCAAATCTCCTTCTATCATCATTTATTCCCCCTTACCCTGTTCTACATCCCTCTGGTAATCACCTTACTGTTGTTTGTCTATGAGCTTGTCCAAAAACATATTGCTAGTAAGTGTCAGAGTTAACTATGAGTTGGACTCATCTTTTGACACTTTCGACAATTCCATAGCTGTCTATAAAAAAATATAAGATATATAATAACATGTAGCCTATCACCCTGCAGAGGGTAATGAATGAACATTTGCTAAACATCTTATGTAAAAAAACACACACAATGGTTTTCTATTCTTGTCAGAATACCAGAAATGTTTTACAACTAGAAAAGTTTAATTACATAAAATAAAAATAAAAAGGAATTTACCCATCTCACCAGAGCATACTGACTGCAGACAACAGAATGAGTAAAGAAAGTCAGGTCATGGGTTCTCAAAGACCAATGAGAAAAACTATTAAGCACTTGTGAAGGCCTAGGTCTTCATCAAGGCCTAGCCAGACATATTATATTACTCTGCCATACAATAAGGTAGATACTATCCATATAAGGTTATTAAACACTTAAAATGTGGCCAATACTACAATGAGGAACTGAATTTTTAATTTTTACTTAAAGTTTAATTTAAAAATTGCCAAACCGGTTTGGCTCAGTGGATAGAGCGTCAGCCTGCAGACTGAAAGGTCCCAGGTTCGATTCTGGTCAAGGGCATGTACCTTGGTTGCGGGCACATCCCCAGTAGGAGGTGTGCAGGGGGCGGCTGGTCGATGTTTCTCTCTCATCGATGTTTCTAACTCTCTATCTCTCTCTCTTCCTCTCTGTAAAAAATCAATAAAAAATATATTTAAAAAAAAGTGGCAATAATCTCCACCATTGCCACCCAAAATATATTAAAAAAATAAAAATAAAAATTAATAGTTGATTCAGTTATCAGAAAACTTTTTAAGTATGTGAATCTATGTTTTCAACTGTAAATCTTTAAAACCTAAACACATCATCAAGTATTTCCAATAAAAAAATTAGAGTCTATGCCTACCTGGTGTGGCTCAATGGTTGACTGTCGACCTATGACCTATGAACCAGTTGCAGGAGGCAGCTGATCAATGATTCTATGTCATCATTGATGTTTCTATCTCTCTCTCCCTCTACCTTCTTCTCTGAAATCAATAAAAATATATTTTAAAAAAATAATTTCATTAATTACAGATAGAAATAATGTTTTAGATATATTGGGCTAAACAAAGCCAAAAACACACAAAAAAACAGAACATATTCATACATATATATATTTTTTCAACCACAACCCAAAGGGAATCGTTATGGAATATAAATTAAGAATATTGGCCCTGGACGGATAACTCAGTTGGTTAGAGCATCATCCCAATATGCCAAGTTTGCAGGTTTGATCCCCAGTTAGGGCACATACAAGAAGCAACCAATGAATGCATAAATAAGTGGAACAACAAATCGATGTTTCTCTCTCTCTCTCCCTTCCTTCTCTCTAAAAAATAAATAAAAATTTTAAAAATTTGAGGATACTGAACTTCTGGAAAATATTTGCAATATGCACGATAGATGAAAGTTAAATAAAATATATTATTAAAATTAATTTCACTTGTTTCTTTTAGGCTACTAGAAAATTTAAAATTATATATGTGGCTCACATTATTTATCTATAGAAAAGCACTGATACAAGGGAAGAGGAAGTTTGACTACATCTAAATGTATATTTAACTACAAAAAAAACTTTGACATTCAAAGGCAGTAAAAACTGTGATTGTTGTACAAATGACATGGGGATGACACTGATACACAGATAACAGTATAAATATTTAAAGTAGATGTATAGGTACTACCATATATATGAACATGGTGCCATCTAGAAGACATAAAAACCTACCTTGCTTATTTCATTCACAATAAATCCTTCCGAAGCTGTAATCTCTGGGATACCATCGAGGCCAATTCCTTGACAAGTTAGGCTGCCATACAAAGTTGGTTTTCCTATATAGCACAAAAGAAGAATGCCTCAAAAAATAGTAAGAATTTAACATTTTTCTCCTTCAAGACCCAATTCAGACAACTGTATAGATGGTAGGATATTGGGTAATAAAAGAAAAACAGGTACTGGTGTTAAAAATGAGGCGAAGTGGAAAGAATACTTGCTTAAGTGAAGCTAATTTGGGAGAAATATAGTCAAGGGCTAAAAACTAGAGACAAAGATTTTGAGATACAATGTGCTATTTGTAGAGAAAGCTACCAATGTGATCTAAACTTAAGTTTTACTGGCTGTGAAATGGCATTCTTCGAGGATGAAAGGTGAAGATCAACATGAATGTATGTGTTCATCCACAGTATATAAATATAATACCTATGTATTATAGAGTTAAGCTTAGAGTTAAGCTTCATTAATCTGGAAAATGTACTTACGTAGAATACTGCTTTTGCAGTGATATGGGCTAAATAAGATATAAACCTACACAAACATATGTAGATGGTAGAATGGAGTTAAAAAACATTCTTTTCTAATTTCTTTCTGCACTACACACACACACACACACACACACACACATACTAGAGGCCTGATGCACGAAGTTTGTGCACGGGTAAGGTCCCTAGGCCTGGCTGGCGATCAGGGCCAATCGGGGTCTTCCAGCTGCCAACTGGGGCCTTCCTTCCCCCGGGGGCCTTCTCCCAGCTGCAGCCTTCCTTTATTCTGCGCCACCCGCTGGTGGTCAGCACACATCATAGTGAGCGGTCGAACTCCCGAGGGGACAATTTGCATATTAGCCTTGTATTATATAGGATATATATGTATATGTATATATACACTTCTATAACCACCCATAATACCCTGTTTTACATTTCTGACCTCCTATTAGACTGTGAAGTCCTACAGTTCAGAAAGTAGCAGGTTGCTATAAATTATTCAGCAAATAACTATTGGTACAAAACTAAAATTCTAGGAGTAAGAGGCAAGTAAAAACCATCATGGATTCAGAGTGGGGGGCTTCCTAGAGAGGGTGAGTCTTTGAAAGAAAGATAGGACTAGGAAAGAAAGATAGGAAAGAAAGAAAGAAGGATAGGATAAGGGAAAGGAAACTCCAAGTCAGGGAGGTGGCATGTCAACAAAAAAGAAAGAACAAGGAGAAAGGAGTAATCAATGAATATACTAGTTTGGTTACAACCGTCATGGAAAAGGTAGCTGAAGGATGTTAATAGAGGAACTCACAATCTAGGATAGAATTCTGGACTAGAGAAGATCTAGTGAAGAAGATTTTGGTAAGGAAGTGGCATGAAATGCTAGTTCAGAAATATGCCGCAAAAATAGGATTGAGGAATTCTGTTTTTTGTCCCATTCCATGAGTACTGTGCAAGGACTCTCGGCCAGGAGAAAGTAGGAAGCTTTCTTCGGGGATAGCTTTCTCTTCCTCTAAAGGGAATGAGTACAGATTTAAGGATATTACCTGGGGGGTGACAGCTCAGCCAGGCCTCCCCTTCATCCTTCCTATGAAGAAAGACAAAGCCCCATTAGGCTCACTCAACACTGAAAACGATGCCACTGATGCTAGGGGAAAAAGATAACATCATTTCCAGTTTGGCCATAGTACACAGGCATGATCTAGTCCAGTGATGGCAAACCTATGACACGCGTGTCAGAGCTGACACACAAACTCAATTTTTGGTTGATTTTTCTTTGTTAAATGGCATTTAAATATATAAAATAAATATCAAAAATATAAATCTTTGTTTTACTATGGTTGCAAATATCAAAAAATTTCTATATGTGACACGGCACCAGAGTTAAGTTAGGGTTTTTCAAAATGCTGACACGCCGAGCTCAAAAGGTTCGCCATCACTGGGCTAGTCTAACACCCCATCCAGGCATAAATTATTCTAACACAGACTTTGTTTACTTGTTGAAGAAATATTTGTGGATTAAGTGTCTAATGCATATAATGGAGTTTACTATTCATTAATAACTGCACAGCTTTGAAACATAAAGTATATATTACACTTCGATCACTGAGGGATTACTGTAAGCCAGGCCCTGTGCAAGGCACTTTGCATATAGCATTAGTAATCTTCACAATTTAACAAGATATCTTTTATTATTTCCATGTTAAAGATTAAAAAAACAACAACTGAAGCTCAGAGAGACGTGACCTGCCCAAGGTCACCTACCTATGAAGCAGGAACTGAAATCTGACTAGTATAGGTCTGTGTTCTACCACCTTACTGACTTTTTTCATGTTTTAGAATGCACCTCCCCAATCATTCAAATCAATACAGTGGGGCCTTGACTTACGAGTTTAATTTGTTCGGTGACGGAGCTCGTAACTCAAATTACTCGTATGTCAAATCTTAAAGTGAACGAGCGAGACACGTGATGCTGGGCTGATGTTGTGGTGTTCACTGTGACCTTCGCTGCGCCAACTAGCGGTGGGATATCTGAAGCTGGCTCATAACCCGAATTTTAGCTTGCAACTCAAAGCAAAAAATCGGCCGAGAGACGGCTCATATCTCGAAAAACTCGTTAGTCGGGACACTCGTAAGTCAAGGCCCTGTATCTCACCTAGGGTACAGGGAAAGGGTGGAGGCTTTAGGTCGCCAGCAACTCTCTATCAGTTATTTGCTGCACAATCCTGGGCAAGTTTCTTCCTCTGATTCTGATCCTGCATTCTCTCATAGGCACCTCGCGGCCCTCAACAAATGCTAGTGTTCTTCCTTTATTATTTATCACACATTCTGTGTTGCAGTAAGTAACGGGTTATTTTACTTTAGCCCATCTAGTAAGGTGTAAGTTTCTTAAATGCAGGAATGTTATTCATCTTCACCTCTGTTTCAATGTGAAAAACCTTATTAGGAATCACAGTTGCCATTCATGGTACTGCAGTACTCTTCCTGGTGCTAGAGAAATAAATATCTGTTAAAGAAATGAACGGTCTGCTGTGCATTCCCCATTAAACTGTCAGCTCGAGGGCAGGAGCCACCCCTTCAGCGTGGAGTACACGTCTGAGCTGCACCTGAACAGCACCTCGCATCCATCTACGTCAGCGTCCCGACAAGGTCGGTGCTCCCCGGTTCTCTGAATACCACGGTCCAATATGACAGACACACCCAGACAGTGTGATGGTGGCGAGGGCTGGGACTTTCGCCAATAGCTGACGATCAACAAATACCTGGGCCTCCTGCCTCCCAGCTGTCCTGTCTTTCTCCAACTCATTGATGCTCGTTCTGATGCTGGAAACTCACAGCGCTTATGTGTCCCCTTAGCCTCGGGATAGCCTTCTGAGAATGAAAACCAATGACCATGTGGGTTTGAGACTTCTGTCTAGAGACCCAGAGCTCCCTCAACAATTGGTGAGGTAACGCCTATGGGTATCCTGGGTAGGGCCTGGGTCTCTACGAAAAGACCACAATCACTACCCGCCTCCTTTGTCCCGGTTCTAGGATTGCATTCACCTGAGGGCTTGGGCCCAGTCGCTCTGAATCCGCAAAGGCGCCGCCATCTTGACCACACCTCCACCAACCCGCCTCTTCCGCTCTCTCCCGGAAGTGGCTCCTCCGAAAGGGCTGTGGCGAGTGCGGGGGGGCGGGATCCACACCGAGAGGCCACCAATGAAAATGCGCGGCGGGACCTTCCTCTCCGTCCTCTCCACCCCGTTCCCACGCGCGCGCGCGCGCCCCTCGCAGAGGCTGGCTCCCGGCAGGAGGGGCGGAAGTCCTCTCCGTCCTCTCCACCCCGTTCCCACGCGCGCGCGCGCGCGCCCCTCAGAGGCTGGCTCCCGGCAGGAGGCTCGGAAGCGTTCCCGGTGCGTGCCAAGCGGACGTGCGGGAGCGCGCGTTCAGGGCCTCTCGTCTGCCTTTTCGGTGAGCACCGCCCGCCGCGTCCTTGCTCGGTAAAGCGTGACGGGCACTGCGAGGGCGCAGGGCCACCCGCATTTCTCTGCTTCGCCATTCTTCCCCTGCCTTCCCCATCTGGACCGGCTTCCCATTCCAGCTGCCGACCCCCTAGCCCGCCCTGATCCCTGAGCAGGGCGGGGTCTTCCTCTTTTTACTCCAGGGGAGACTGAAGCACGGATGAGGTGGGGGGAAGAGCCGGGTAGCACCTGCGGAGTCCCGGGGTAGCCCAAGCATTTGGCATCATTACGTTAACGCTGCAGTAGTTCTGTGACTTACATGTTACCTTACGGAGGACACGGAAAAAGACTGCCGGGTAAAGCGTTGCCTGCGTTCGAACCCGGATTTCTTGGCTTAGGATTTAAGCACTTTCTTTCCCCTGTGTTTGCTCTAAGGTTTGCTCCTTGCCTTTAAAGAGCTCACAGTGTGTAGTAAGAAGAGGAAACGTGTGCAGTAATAGGGACGATCATTATTGAACTCTGGACGGGCCAGGCTCCTTTACCTGCGTTATCTCATTTAGTCTTTAACAATCCTGTGGGGTATATATTATCTCTATTTTTCAAGAGAAATTACGAAGTGATTTGCTCAAAGTCACCCAATACATGAGTGAAAAAGCTAGTTTCCAACCCAAGTCTGTTTCAAAGCCCATTTTCTTTTCTCTTTTTTAAAAAATATATTTTATTGATTTTTTTACAGAGAGGAAGGGAGAGGGACAGAGAGAAACATTGATCAGCTGCCTCCTGCACACCCCTTAGTGGGGATGTGCCCAGCAACCAAGGTACATGCTCTGGGACCCTTCAGTCTGCAGGCGAGGCTCTATCCACTGAGCCAAACCGGTCAGGGCTCAAAGCCCATTTTCCCCTTCCTCAGGTTATACGGCCCGCAGCAAGTGAGTTTTCTGTAGGGCTGTGGAGTTGCTTAAATCCTCTGGTCCCTTCCCCATTGCCCTCTAAGCGCCCTAACTTGGCTAACAGGCCTGGCTGTGATCAGATGGTTTCTCATCTTGCCAGTTTCATTTGCTTTGTTTTCTCCTCATACTCTATTCTCCAGTCACACAGAACTTTCCCTTCTTCCCGTGTGTCAGATTCTCTTTCAACCCCACCCCCGCTCCCGCTCTCTTCATGGACAGGAGTCTTCTTCCTTTCCATCTCTGGTTAATTCCTATTCATTCTTCAAGTGTCAGTTTACAAATCACTTCCTCTCTCTGTGTCTGGATTAGGTATCACTCCCCGGTGTCCCGCAGCTGAGCTGTCTGTACACAGTGTACAGTAAACTGCCTGTTGACTCGTCTGGACTGTACATTCCGTGAAGGCAGGGACTGTGTCTGTGGTCACTCCTCTGTCCTCAGCTCTAGAATAGTGCCTGGAACATGGTAGGGGCTCAGTGATCATTTGTCGAATAAGCCAGAGAGACACAGGGAAGGCATTAAGCAGTTCTAGTTTCTTTATAGCCTGTCATGGTGAAATGTGTACAAGGCTGAGGTAATTTCTCGTCAAGTCTTTCTAAGTTCTCTCTGTATGCCACCTCCTACTCGGTGTTCTGCAGCAGATGATCTTGGGAAGAAGTTTGGGCGAATACACCTCACATTACTAAGTACTCTCAGCTTACAGACTCCTCTCTTGCCCTGGCCACTGCATGCTGTCTGTTACAGCCACACAACTCTCCATTCCTCCCGCTTGTCAAACCCTACACATTCTTAGGTATTAAACTTTGTTCTTCTCCAGCCATAGGATAAGGCCAATGTAAGAAAAGAGAGATTCTTTGGGGGTGAATCAGAGATAGCGTCTCCAGAAAGGTGACATTTCACCTAATTCAAATTCCATTAGCAGAACCCATTCCAGCTTATTGTTCTAAGCATTCTCACATACTTTATCTCATTCCATTTAGTTCAAACCATTTTGTAGGCCTGCTCTCTGCCAGGCCTAGTGCTGAGGGCACCAAGTTAGATCAGGCCCATTGTCTGTCCTCAAGTAGCATAGTCTCCAGAGAGAGACATAAGCATAAATAGGCTATAACAGTGCAGTGGTCAGTGTTATTTATAACAGAGGAATCCCATATATAATCATGTTCCTCCTCTAACCTTGCCTCCATTGATGTCTAGAGATTCCCAAAGATGTCAACTCAAGGACATACTTGGGCCCGTCAGGTGAAGAAAGAGGGTGAGGAAGAGGACCCCCTGGACCTGCTGATCTCCCGCTCTGGCTGTGCTGCTTCCCACTATGCAGTGCAGGAGTGCATGGCCCAGCACCAGGACTGGCGACAGTGCCAGCCACAGGTGCAGGCCTTCAAGGACTGCATGAGTGAACAGCAGGCAAGACGGCGAGAGGAGCTGCAGAGGAGGAAGGAGCAAGACAGTACCCACAGCTGAGCCCCCAAACCATCTATCCCCAGAGCATGGCCTGCAGAAACTAGCACCCAGACAAATCCTAAACAGTGGAAGTGTGGGCCAAAAGGTATAAAACTCCAGGATAGCCTTTGGGATTGGGGTTGAGAGCCAGGCAGCCATGGGCTTGGACATGACTGTCATAAAGAAAGAGCTGTCATATTTTATTTGTTTAAAAATCTTTATTTTTGAAAGTATTACAGATGTCTTCCTTTATCCCCCATTGATCCCTTCTACCCTACTTCTCCCCTCCCACGCAACGTTCACTGCACCATTGTCCATAAATTATGCATATAAATTCTTTGGTTAATATCTTCCTTCCTTCCTCCCCCCATAGCTGTCTTATTTTTATGGTGAGACCCACACATCCTCACTCATCTTGTTCCACGAATATTAAATATTGACCAGTATTTGTGATGTACAACAAAGGGTGAGGTTTAGGCATGTTCTTCTACCCTACATCTTGGGTAAGTGTGCCAAGTACTGAGCTAATTACATAGACTTTGAATGTTAGAAGTAAATTCACAATCTAAAGGTAAATTGGTTACCTAATATGTCTTCATCTATTCAGTCATTGGTTCAACAATAGCCAGTTTTCCTCAGACCTCACATGCTAGGCAGTTGGAAACTGATGGGACAAATAATATGATCTTTGCCTTCATGTCTAGTTTGAGAGACAAATTAAACAACACTGGAACAACTAAATAATTCCTGCAATGATATAAATGACTTTATCTTTAATAAGTTGTTCTGGATATTTCCTTTGATCTAATAGAAGGGAGAAAGCAAATGTGGGGGAAAAAACATTGAGTGACTCTCATATGCTAAAGTCTATTGAATTAACAGATGTAGACTCTGACCTCAACACACTCCCAATCAAACACACACACAATGTTGGCTTGATGTTTAAAAAGTACATTTAACATAAAACACAGATTTTTCCGCTTTTGAAAAATAGAGAAGCTGTCAACATGGAGCTTATATTCCTACTTGACAACAATTTGCTGGAGCTAAATATGGTTTCTCTTAGGTGGTTGCATTCTCTGGCTCATGAATTGCCACCACTTCTCATTTTGTTTCCATGGAATTATATTACCCATTCTGTTACTTTCTGCCTATCCCTGTAAGGCACTGACTGTCCTGTGCAAAGGGATGTATGCTGTCATCATCGTCAGTAATATTTCTTGTGTGTGTGTATCACATATCATATTTTATTTTATATCTATATTAATTAGAAGTACAAATCTGAAGTACAGTAGCACCTAACACTACCTTTGTGTGTTGGTATTTGGGGAGGAGAGAAAGAGAAAAGAGGGGAGAAGATAGGAATACCAGTTTAAAGAACAATAAAATCCAATTTCAGCCTTCAAGCAGAAGGGGCTGACTGGATATATCTATATGTATAGATATATCTATATACATATATATATAGATATATCTATACATATAGATATATCTATATACATATAGAGAGAGAGAGAGAGGGAGAGAGAGAGAGATGAATCTGTGTTAAGTGCTGTGGGTCATCAGAAGGAGTACTGGGGACGAGTTTTCAGCAAGAATCTCAAAAAGAGAAGGGATTTAGTTGAGTTGAACCTTTAAAGATAAAGTAGGTATTACCTATTTGTAACATATATAACAGGAAGGATTACCATCTGTAGCAAATAAAAAGTATTTAGAATTCAATAAGAAAAAGCAAACAGCCCTAGCCAGCTTGGCTCAGTGGATACAGCGTCGGCCTGCGGACTGAAGGGTCCCAGGTTCGATTCCGGCCAAGGGCACGTACCTGTTTTGCAGGTTCGATCCCCAGTAGGGGACGTGCAGGAGGTAGCCGATCAATGATTCTCTCATCATTAATTTTTCTATCCATTTCTCCTCCCTTCCTCTCTGAAATCAAGAAAGAAATATATTGAAAAAGCAAACAGCCCAGTTGAAAAGTGAACAAAGTTAAATATACCTCCACAGCCCAGCTAGTGTTGCTCAGTGATTGAGCATTGACCCATGAACTAGGAGGTTGCCAGTTCAGTTCAGGCCAGGGCACATGCCTGGGTTGTGAGGGCATGCAGAAGGCAGTCAATCGATATTTTTCTTTTTTTAAAAATTTATTTTATTTTATTTTATTGCTTATAGTATTACAAAGGGTATTACATATGTGTCCTTTTTTTTCTCCCGCCCTTGACAGTCCCCTGGCCTCCCCTACCCCCCAGTGTCTTATGTCCGTTGGTTATGCTTATATGCATGCATACAGGTCCTTCGGTTGATCTCTTACCCCCCTTCCTCCTGCCCCACAACCCTCCCCGATATTTTTCTTTCATCAATATTTATATCTCCCTCTTCCTCTGTAAAATCAATAAAAAAATTTAAAAATTTAAAATCAATAAATATACATACACAATAGGAAAATGTAAATATATTCTGCATCACTGATAGTAAGTCAAATGCAGATTTGAAAAAGTTGTATTATAGATCCTCTTGGCAAAAACCGAAGTATTTATAATGGAGGTAGCAAGTTTTGGAGGGTTACAGCTATAACAGAGCTAATGCTGGATGGGTAACAATATATTTAGGCAAAGGGTGCTTAAACCTTTTTCCTCAAGTAAATGAAGATAAATCCTATTTAATAGGCATACTAAAAGAATTAAATGAGATAATATATAAGTAATAATAAAAATGGTTAGCATTTATTGAACTACTAGAGGCCCAGTGCACAAAATTCCTGCATGGAGGAGGGAGGGTCCCCTCAACCTAGCCTGCACCCTCTCCAATCTGGAACCCCTTGGGGACTGTCTGACTGCTGGTTTAGGCCCAATCCCTGGGACATCCCTCTCACAATCCTGGACCGCTGGCTACTAACCGCTTGCCTGCCTGGTCGCCCCTCACTAACCCCTCCTCCAGCCTGGTCACGTCATGCAGCCTGTTCAGTCACTTAGGCTTTTATATAGATAACTAATATTTATGGAACATTTAACCCAGCCACTCTGGTTCCAGAGGCTGTGCTCTCATTCCCTGTGATACGCTTTCAAATCCCACTATGCCACTTACTAGCTGGGCGATTTGGGGCAAATTACCTAATATCTCAGGCTCTGTTTTTTCTTCTAGAAAAATATAGTTATAATGCCTTTCACATAGGCCTCACAACTAATAAATGTAGTCCTTCCTCATAGGGTTGTAGAAAGAATGAGTTAATATTGGTACAGTAGGTCTTTGAATAAAGTCATTTCTTTCAATGTCATTTTGTTATAATGATGAGAAATGGTAGGAATTTAACTGTCTACATCAATTAACCTATTATATAGTAAACTTCATTTCATTATACATTGTTTTGCTTAAAGTCGCAAAACATATTGATATTAAGTAAGGACTTAAGAGCTAAGAAACAGTGTCTGCTGGAGGGGGGTGGGGTGGGGGGGGT